CAGCAGCAGCAGCACCAACAGCAAACGCAGCAGCAGCAGGGGATAGGGATCAAACACAAGCACACTTGGATCAACAAAATCAAAACTTGATCAATAAAGTTGGATCAAAAATAGAACAGCAGAAACTAAGGAGGAAGAAGGAAGGAAGGAGAAAGGAATGCAGGAAGGAAGAAGCGAAGGACGAAAAACGAGGACGAGTGGGGGACGCTCCGAGCCGCCCTCCGCTGAGGCACCGAACCAACAGAAAGCTCGGGGGACAGGGGGACGAGCCCTCGGAGTTTCACGAGCTGAGTGCCAGACCCCTCAAGGGGGACAAAGAGGCAACAACACCTGGACCATTGCATTCGGCAAAGCAGGGGGTGAATGGAGGGGAGAGGGGGTGGCGCGGAAGACGACCATGGGCAAACACACGAGCACTACAATCATGGCGGGAGGGGTGGCCCTCATTCTCACCACGGCCCTGGGACACAAGTGGGGGTTGCTTAGTGCGCATGTCCCCCACCATGCCACGGTTGCACACACAGAGGCCCTCCTCAGCAGCTGGGGGGGGGGGGCCGGGGCACTCAAACAAAAGAGAGTTCTGGTAGGGGTTGATGCCAACGAGCAGTTCACCGCTAGCCAGCATGCCGAAGGACAACAGCAGCCGCAGGGACACACGAGCAGAGCCGAAGTCATCGTTGCATGGCAGCAAAGACAAGGACTGCTACTCCCGCCGCAAGAGCTCCAAAAGCCATCGCATTTCCCATATGCCACGTGCCTCCAACCCCGACGGCTAGACTACGTGCTCCTTAAGGGCTGTTTCTCCATGACGGGGGACGTGGCAGAGACATTGCCCGCTCAGACCACGAGCCTGTGGTTCTGCAACTCAGAGCCCAGGTTCCCAAAGGCAGCCACGTCTGTGGACCCAGACATGTTGTCATCCGAGACCCCAAGGAGAGGACGGCGGTGCTCAACCAGCATGCGCTGACCATGCCCGGGGACCGCCGCCGCCAAATTTCACAGATGAGCCAGCTGCTCACCAAAGCAGGCAGGGGGGATGCACGCAAGTTCCAAGAAAGCAGGGGGCTCAAACAAGCCACGAGCGAAGCGCGCAAGCAACCCCCCGGGCCAGCCAGACGACAAGCATGGAAGTCGATTCACAAACAACTACACGAGCAGACAGAGCAACAGCCCAACAGCAACGCACCCGGGGCATCCCGCTCACCTTTCCACCAGACGAAGTCTACGGTAATCGGCTCACACCCCTGGGCACTTGAAGTTCAGCAGCCGGGAGAGCCAGAGCAATAGGAGACGGCGTACAGTTCGTCGTCCCCGACCTCCACAGCCACGAGCGAGGACGAAGAGGAGAACCAGCCAACCCAGCAACAACAAGCACCGCAAGGGAAAGACAGGCAGCAGAAGGAAGCCAGCGACAAGCACGAGCAGACTCCGGGGACGACTCCTCTTCGGGGAACTCAGCAAGATTCGCAGACCAGCAACCAGCGCGCGGCCACGACCGGTTCAGAGCCAGGGGACACGACAGAAACAGCCAGCCCACAACAGCCCGTGGGATTCTCCTTCTACTCCCCAGAAGCCATGGAGCAGCTTTCCAACCCAGCAACTACCTGCCGCACAAGCCGCCGCAAGCCATCCCCAAACGACCGCCACCACAACCGCCCAGCGACTCAGAAAGCAGCTGGCCCAGCGAAGACCCACCACCTGGCCACAACACCCTCATGCAAATCTGCAAAGAGGGGGGACGTCCGACAGAACGTACCACCACAAGCACCGCCACCACCGAAGTCCAAACCGGCACTGCCGGGAACACCCAGCAGCAGACTCGGCGGAAGCAGAGACAGTCCCATGGGTAGCCCCACCCTGCCCAAGGGGACACCCCGCGGCAACCGCCCCCGCAAACTCCAGCTCACCGTTCCGGAGGAAGACATGCCGGGGACAACGACCGAGGAGGAGATGTGAGAAGAAGGGCGCCCCGGACAGTGGGGAGATCAGCCGCAGATCCGCGCAAGCCCGACAACAACGCAGCCACAGCAAGCACCGCCGCAAAGACCGGGGGGCCAAGAGAGCAGAGCACTCGAGAGGGGACGCCAGGCCCATTCAAAAAAGCCCGCTGCCAAGCATCTCAGGTGTTGCGCAGCCAAACCGATGAAGCAATAGCGGCGTGGGAGCAAGCGACTACACCAGCAGCGGGGGGAACCCCAGTTCAGGCAGCGCAAGCAGTAGCCACGGCGGCGGCAGAGCACATAAACACAGCGGAGCAGCTCGCAAGAAGCATTGAACTACAGGGGGTAGCAGCCTACCTTGGAGCGGCAGCAACACAACTTCAGCTCAACGGTTCTGGGGGGCACGATCGGCCTCAGCATGTCCTCCCAAGCCCGAATGCCTTTGAGATAGCTGCCACCGTAGCGGGAGTCATGGCGGACCGAGCGAGCCAAGGGGACATACCAGAGGGGATCGTCGAGCTTTTGGAACTGCAAGAACTACTACAAGCCGGCCAAGCGCTGATACTGGGGGGAGAAAGTCCAGTGACTGGACGAGAACCCACCACGCTACAGACGCCGCCGGTGACGCCGAAGCACTCCTGCACGCCAACATCCAGGCCGGGGGCTTGGGAGACCTAGCAGAGACCACGCTGGCTACTCTGCAAAACTTGCTCCACGCCGCGGCCGACGGGGTCAACGTGCTGGTGGGGAACTACCCGCATAGGGGGGCAGCAGAGTCGCTGTCGGCGCACCCAGCAGACTCGCTGGGCCTTCAAAGGGGAGCAACAGAAGAAAGGGGACGACCAGCTGATCCACCAGATGCAGTACATGTGTACAATGGCAAAGAAAATACTGCGGAAGCTCCAGCCCTTCTTGACAGGGGAGACACGCGAGAGCTGTGCCACCTAGTGCAGTGGACAACGCAGCATTGGGGAGAAGACGTTGAGATAGTCAGCGACGGGGACGCAAACGACCGGGGGGCGGCCAGTGCCTCGGCGTGTACTACTGTACCACCGCAGCCGGGGGGGCACGCCGCCAGAACCTCGAGACCTACTACAACCGGCGGAGAAGGGGGCTTCTGAAAACAGTGAGCGCAGACGCCATAGAAAGCTTGACAGTCCCAGCTCCCTGGATAATGATGATTAGGCGGGGGCTTGGGGGTGTCTTGCTGTGGTTCGTGAACGGGGAGCTGGCGCTCTGAATGCACCTGAGGCCCGAGACAAAACTGCAGCTAGGGGTAGGCCTGCTGAATCGCGTCTTGTCTCGTGCCTGAGTGCTAAAGGCCTTGTAAAGGACACCCCAGTGCCTAGAAAAAGAACCCCCCAACAAACCAAGGGGGACACAGTTGAGTGCAGCCTAGAGATTATCGATCGGAAGTTAAGATGAAGCCGGCCTGTAATCACTTGCGCCCCTGCCACCCCATAACACATGGGGGGCCACAAGGCCAGGGGGTTTAAGACGCCCCCTACGCCCAATGAAAGAAAGAGAGAGAGAGAGAGAGAGAGAGAGAGAGAGAACCGAGCGCAAGGAGGGAAGGAAGAGAGAGAGAGAGAGAGATTATGGCCGTCAGCAAGCAAGCAAGAAAGAGAGAGAGAGAGAGAGAGAGAGAGAGAGGTGGAAGTACGAGCCCATCCAGTGAAAAAGCTGGATGGGGAGCGCGGACGCGCGGGGCGTGGGGACTGCCCACCCCAAGCAAAGCAAAGAGGTCCCCCTCCCAAACGCCCAGCAAGCAAGCAAGCAAGCAAGCAAGCAAGCAAGCAAGCAAGCAAGCAAGTGCAAGCAAGTGCAAGCAAGAGAGACAGGCGGGGGCGCACGTGCGCGCGGTGGGGGGGCAACTCCCC